TTTGATTTGAATAGCAATCCAACACGTGGCAATCAGCCGCCAACAGGCAGTGGGAACCACCTGTAAATCCCCATTTGCAACACAACCGTGTGAGCTGAATCAACATGGAATACAAAGATGGATGATATATCTGCTCCCACACAGGCTCTATTGCAATTGCCTGTTAAGCCATCAACATTGTTCAGATCTATGTGCGAAGGGGGCGGAGGGTGCAACAGAGGAAATGATGACGGTAACCCAGACTGAGAAAACCCATTGCACAAAGCATCCTGAGCACAATAGCACGGTGGTCTTTCTCTTTTATGTTCTCCCCAGAGGGGGTTTACATGTACGTCACTAATGCAAAACACAAGACTGGGCTTCTCAAAAGGTCCTCATAATGAATTCGAGAAAAGTTCTGAAGCAACATGGAGCATGTTTGTTAAAGTAAGGGATAGTGTACAGAGAGCCAGTCATTATTGCAAAATAAAATAACCCCAAACAAGTGGTTTTGCACCACCCTAAAGGGGTTTATTCCAGTTAAATCTTCATTAAAATACATTAAATATGGCAGTGTTGTCCATTTTCAATTGACCTGTAAATCATTGAGTGCAGGGGCACTACACCTAAAAGCTTTACTTTTAACCTTTAAAACGAAATGTTTTAATATTTGTCTTAGTTTGCATTTTCATTTCACATTTCTCAGTCCTTCTTTATAGCGCTCATCCCCAGAGCCAGACTAAGAGCTTTTAGCTTAATATTTAACCACAGATAACCTTCACTTAAAATAGCAACGGATGCTCTTAATGATACATCAGTGCTGTTGGAAAGCAATGCTTATCACTCCACAAAATAATTTTATGGCCCTGTCTACTTTTATCTAAAAACAACCAGCTAGACTATTAATAAATAGACTGCTGAGGTAAGAACTGTACTTCGAGCCTCTTAGCTAAGTGGAAGTACAAGAAAAGACAATTTAATAAATTAAGCAAATAAGCAACAACCGGCAAACGTAAAGTGGATGTAGTTAGTAAATAATGTGATCAAACCGATATTTTGCCAGTCATAAACACTCATTTAAAATAGAGAAATTATACATAAAATAAACGTCTATAATCAAATCTACTTTTCTACAAAACAGATGTGCTCGGCCAGGCTGGGTGCTCATAAATCAAATGCTTAATTTAATTTAATTTGATTTGAGTACATAAAAAAAAAAGACTTCTGCACAATAATCAAAAAATGCAGACTGGGGACAGAAAAGAACAGTTAATTCATCTGGAAGGCCAAACAAATAGCAGTGATTGCTATTGACAGTGCCTAACTGTGCAGAGCTCAACGTGGCAAGACGTTGGGCCTAGCCATGCTGAAGGGAGTTGCCTGGCAACTGTGAGCTCTTTCTCTCGTTTTCTCTCTGGACTTTCTGGAAAGAAACGTGAATGAAGTCTATCTGCCATTTCTCTAAAGAGGACCAGAGCAGTTGTCACAAACAGGGATGATTCAGGGTGTCATTTCTTAAACTGTGACGGTAAGCAAATAAGTTGTAGCAAATCTGCTGTGCTCTTTTATGCATTTTACATGCATTTCCAGAATTGGAATTAGAATTATACAATTCTACGAACATGTTGACATGATTGGACTGCCTGGCGGACAATAAAATGTCCAAAAAACTACTCAAAACAGCCATGCAACAACATAGAAACACCTCATCAACCACCTAGAAAAAAACTAGTTTATAATTCCATTTTAAATAATAATATATAATAATAATATAGTAAATAAATAAAAAATATGATTAATTATTATGTGTAGTCACATTTGGTTATTAATTGCTAAACAACTCTTAGATTAGTCTTAATGAAATGATTAAAACAGTCATCCATGACCATCTGTTAAACATGTTATGCATATTCTGATGGTTATGGATATGTGCGCTCTTTATGTATATGTTAAGAGGCTTTCATCTTTCATTCATTCCCACTATATCTCTCTTTCTGCATATTGATGCCATGCATAAGAGCGCACAGAGCAGGTTGTACGCGGTTTTGTTTTCAAGTATTCCTGGACATGCATAAATGCGACAGCTCTGCCAGCGAGGCACATGACAGACCCATGTGCATCAAAGTGTTATGTGATCAAAGTGCTTTTCTGCAGGATAGTATTATACTCGCACTAAAGTAAAATGATCAGAGTCTAAGGAGTTTAATATAAACGGTTATTATTCCTGGGTCTGTCATGTTACGACCCTGCGTTTCCCTTGCTCGCCTGCTGGGGGCGGTGTTCTTCAGGAGGGCATGGAAGATTGCACACTCCTGTTACCTGCTTTCAATTTGATTGTGGAGAGGATAAAACCTTGGATCCTACCCTCTCCATACCACTTCGTCCAGGGGATTGGCAGCCTCTGGAGGAGTCACTTGTTTTGCGACATTTATATTTGTTTACAGACCATTTCAACCTTTTCTTATTCCCCATCTGGATTATGATTTTGTCCCCTTATGATTGTGAACCCTAGACTTTGTTATCTTAAGTTATTTATACTTTTGTTGTAAGCTAATAAAACTTCTTGCAAGTAATTTTCTTGTACTTGTATCCCTTTATGTGCGGTCAAAACGAGCTGGCCGTAACAGTCATGATTTTAAAAGGGACCTTTATGCCCCTTCTTACATGATGTTATATAAGTCTCAGGTGTCCACCAGAATGTGTATGTGAAGTTTCAGCTCAAAATACCCCACAGATCATTTTTTATACCATGTTGTAAACGCCCATGTTTGAGTGGAAGGAAAAACATGCAGTTTTTTGCGCATGTATCTTTAAATGCAAATGAAGAGGGCGGAGCCTGTACAGCTCATGCCTCGGATACTCTGGCAAAAATCGAAATATCTGTTTGGTTTTGATTATGATCTCCATCGCGGTCACGCTCATGCGTTCTAAAGCCATATCAGTCTAAACTTCTGATGTTGGCTTTTCTAAATGCACACATCCGAAACATGCGCACAGAAAGCTGTCTGTCAGAAAGTGTCTTACCACGCTTAAAGGGTTAGTTCAACCAAAAATGAAAATTTTGTCAGTAATTACTCACCCTCATGTTGTTCCAACCCCGTAAGACTTTTGTTCATCTTCGGAACACAAATTAAGATATTTTTGATTAAATCTGAGAGCAGGATCACTCTTCCATAGGCTTCTAAAGGATTAAAAATTGCCGGCCCAGAAAAGTTATTAAAGAAATCGTTAAAATAGTCCAAGTGACTAAACTTAAGATTGAGCCACTGTAGTCACTTGGACTATTTTAACGATGTCTTTAAAAACTCTTCTGGGCCGGCAATTTTCAATCCCTTAGAAGCCTATGGAGGAGTGATCCAGCTCTCAGATTTAATCAAAAATATCTTAATTCGTGTTCCGAAGATGAACAAAACGGGGTTGGAACAACATGAGGGTGAGTAATTACTGACAGAATTTTCATTTTTGGGTGAACTATCCCTTTAAACTGTCAAATACACACAAGGTTATGTCAAAAACACACAACGTTCACATAAACACAGTCGGTAATGTCTGCGAAAGTATGCAGCAATGAAAGAAATCGCCTGTGTTTATTAGATCTGTGTATTAAATTGACAGCAGCATAATATACATTACCTACTTCTATTATGTTAATATGAATCAAAAAAACTAAAGAAAACAGAAAATCACTCACTACTCTTGACTGAATTACTTCAGTCGCTTTAATAAGAATAAATTTTCTTACGAGGCAGCAGTCAAGAGTCCTAAGCATTTGAGACGTCACATTGCTAGAATCTGCAAACGGCTTGTTCTGAGACACTGCTTATGATTAATGGGGATTAAAAAAAGAGGAGTATAGGTGGATTTTTACCATTATAGGCTGCTTGGGTACACACACTGCCGACACACATTTATGTTCAAACACCATGTAAAAGTAAATTTTGCATAGTAGGTCCCCTTTAAGCAACATTTTTGTGACTGCTAGCTAGCATGACTGAGGTAATTCTACGCAATTTTAATGGAGTTGGTCATTTTGCAGCTCAAACTGAACTCCACTATCGTACACCCAAAACCTGATTGATTCATCATTATACTTAGAAATCAGTCTTTCATACCGATCTGGAATCAATTTAGCTCTTGAAGTATAGGGGTTTAAGTGGGATTAACTTGTTCTAGATCAGCGGAAAATCATACCCTTGCTTCTATTAATGCTAAATGCTTGCCAAGCTGGCAAGCCTTGGCCTAGTCAGCAAGCCTGTTTGAAAAAAGGAGGAGGGGGTGGGAAATCCAGATGGTTTAATGAGCATGAGCCATCTCTGTCTCAAGTTACTTTATTATAATCCCTGCAAAGGTCAGGAGGAAACAACAGGCTTATAGGAAATCAGAGAAGGTGAGTTATTTTGCAATCAGTGCCGCCTTGTTATTATTTACCTCGTCCAATGAAAGATCAGTGAATGGTAAGCCCCACCATTTAGCTATTACTGATGTCTCAAATGTCTTACTACTGCTCTTTTATGTTTAGCCCTGAGGAAGCACAGTATTAAGGTATTGCTACTGTAATTGTGAATTTCATATCCCACTGACAGGCCATTTTAAAACCTGCCCATTACAACACCTCCCACAATAATATCTCTGTGAGGGAAAAAAGGAAGCCACATCGATGTGTACTTTGCCTATGGAAATAGTTAAAAAGGCAGCCTTATTTGACTGATACAAATATGTTTTCATCTGCCACAAGAGCAATTGTTTAGTGTTTTCTCCATCAATTTAAGTAATCAACATTTGTAAATTGCATTTAAAAATCTTGTTACTTGCAAAAGGCTATGTGTCACAGTGTAGAGGCAATCAAGCCGCTCAAGATGAGACAAGGAACAATGGAGGCCATTACGGAAATTAAAGAACCTTTTAAGACTGCCGTGCTTTGATTCAGTCACAGCTGTTCTCATCATGAATAAATTATTATTTGTTGACTGAAGACCTAAAATGATGCTTCCCGTCAAGAACAAAAGACCACAAGACTGATATAGTTTTTGTTGTTTAATAAAAAACAAGTCTTTGGCAGATAAAGAGATTTGGCAATAAATAAAACTTAATATAATACATACAAATACATGCATGCTCACACTCACACACAATAAATTAAGCAGTTTGGATCAGTGGGATTTATAATGTGACAATGCTTGTGAGAGGAAGATCACAGTTGCCCAGAATATAGTCTCTTTTCATTGTGGACATCTTGTTTACGACTTTGAATCGAAGTGTCCTCTGGCAGAGATCATCTTCCGATATACCATCAAAGAAAAAGTCCTCATTGAAGATTGGATTGCGGCTCTTCCTGATGACCGTGCTGCGCTGTTTCTGGACTTTTCCGGGCATGAGAGAGAGGCTAACGCTGCAGTTAATGCTTTTAGGGTCCACAGACAGAGCATACAGGCCTTCTGCGCTAATGAGGCGGACACGCAGTCTCTGGTTTTCAGGGCAGTACTCTGCTGACAACCGCAAGGTCCCATCCCTTCCAACAGGCACCAAATTCTCTTTCATCACCCTCTCCCGGTGCAGAACCAAGTCCATGGGGAAGATAGCCGGAGGTGCCAAGCTGAAACCACACTGGAGAGGTTCTACAAGGCCGTCAGATGCTCTCCTCATGATGTTGGGGCTGTTGTCCGTGGAGCTGCTCTCGTCCGTCGATAAGGAATTGTTTCTGGACATGGCAGCCTTCCGGAGGTTGCGGTAGAGGATTTTCTCATGGCTAAGTGCTTTGAGGAGAGAAGACTTTGGTGGGCATCTGTTAAATAGAGGAGAACTGAAGGGGGAGGATTCTGCCGAGGAGGTAGTATCGCTATCCAGAGTTCCCTGTCGGTGCAGGGTGAAACCTTTTGGAGAAAGTCTGGAAGTAAGAGCATTCAGGCTAAAGGAAGAATGGGAGCTTGAAGATGGCAGGAGGGGGGAAGATGGCATAGAAGATTTGGAGCAAGTGTTTGATCTACTCCGGGGAAGAACCAAGGGGATTCCAGTGGAGTTTGGGTCATTGTGGAAGAGGGACTCCTTTCTTCTGGTGTGGGGACTTTCCAGCAAGGTGCAGAAGCCATAGCAGGTTTGAGCTTTAGCTAAGTGAGGCAGGGAAAGTGCAGCCTGGCTTTGAGGATCAGCATTGGTGGTTTCCTCATCACTACACCCATTGTCATATGGTCCATCGTCAACACTCTCCACCTGGATGATATGGTTATTGTGTAGCTCTCGGTTATTGACCTCTCTCTTTGGACTTCCCTTCTCACATGGAGACACTCGGATGCATGGAGTCGGCCTCCCCTGCTCAATACTCTTGCCCTCCACTGGGCTTGAGATCTTGGGGGGAATGCAGAACTCTGGGATGGTGTCCGGGGTAATGATGTTTGGACACAGCAAGACTTTCTTGGCTTTCTCAATGGATGACTTGTCTCCAAACATGATGTCTCCGATTTTGAAGCTGTATTCCGTTACGGAAAGTGGCAAGTTGGTCCTTTCGACGGACACTCTGATCTTCTCTACCACCCACATGGGAATTCAGTTTGGACTCAAGTTAGAAACACTGCAAAAATAAAAGATCTGTGGTTATAAGTCTGGTCCACTTAGTTTTATTCCAAAATTGTGCAATAGTTGTCTGTCTTTATATCTTAATGCCAAAACATTTTGTATGCTGCTTACCTTGTGTACCCGATTCTCCAGTGGAGGAATTGAGTATCTGTTCAGACGGGTCCTTGTTCTATATGCTGCATTAAACAAGGTCTTCAGGGTGATAGCTAGGAGTGTCTAATCAGCAGGCTCAGACTCTCTCCTGTTAGACCGGCTTCTCTTTGTGACACATGTGAAGGGCTCTTGGCCTTTTATGCAGAACAGTGCTGTGGGCGGAGAGAAGGGCTATTCGATCACACCCACGAGTGGTAAGAGAGGGCTGCCCTGCTTTCAAGGCTATTGGTTCCTATAGAAACTCGCAAGCCACGACACTTTAAGCAATCCAAGAATGGGAAAGGTAAAGGCCAGTCTGATAAGCAAATTGCAATGAAATCCAACAAATTTGGCTGATAAAACAAAGGCATGTGTGTGTGTATGAGTTTCCATTACTCTGTGCGAGAATTGTAATATTAGATGTGGGTTATAGGTTAATGATACCTGAATATGATGCAAATCCAAATGTCTCTGGCATTTTTCAGGCAAAGACTACAGTATTAGTTATACCAATGACGGAACACAGGCTTTGATGTATCTGGGTCAGCAAATACAAAGGTCTAAAGCAAATTTACTGAGCTTAAAAACTCATTCACAAGCTAGGCACAATAATCCCTAGGTATGCCCTATAAAACTATAATGAAAAGCGGCCTGCTGATTGTTTGATTGGTCTAAGAAATTTTTTTGTTTATAAAGAAACATTTTTTTTGCCTTTTTGCAATTCTTATTCATAGAGATATTTATATTGTCATACTCATAACCATATTTTTCTCATATTGTTGAAACCACGTGTTAATGCAACGCTGAAACAACATAAACTACTATGTACCAACATTTAAATTAACCACGCTTTAAATTAAAAACACTTTGATTAAATTAAAAAGTTGCTGCCTTAAATTTTTAAGTACAATCAAATTGGATGTTTAAGTCATTTAAACTTAAATTACATTAAACTACCTTAAAAAAAATAAGTCGAATCTTGTTTAAATACAGTAATTACACTATTGAGCCTTCCCTTACACCTTAACCTACCCTTAAAACTACCCATACCACCAGACCTGTCCCTAACCTTACCCATATCCAACCACAATAGCAGCAAGTGTTTTGCAATCCAATATGAACACAATAAGTACATTGTACTTTTTTTTATATGCAAGTACATAGTAGTTAAGGACACCCAATATAAAGTGCGACCGAAACGTTTATAGATCAAAGAATAGCAGATGAAAGTGATCCATCCACAATCTTACACTAATTATGCTTAATAAATCAACAATGTCATGAAAATATGCAAGAATATAATTGCAGAAACATAAATATAGAAGAGTGCTCTCTTGGCTAGAAATTGATCGAAATAATAAATACAGACATTTCATCGATGCCCTCTTGTGGCAGGATACAGATGAGCTTTGCAAAATTCAAATGCAATTTTTATAATTCCATAATATTAACTTAATATCTCTGTAATATCATATTAGTCTAATTCCAACCGACACTATTTACTTTGATTAAACGTGTGCAGTGTAGCCTCTGGTTATGTACCTTATAGGTGATTTACAGTATCTCACACTACAGCTGTCTACAACGTCATGCTTGATATTTATGTCTTTGTTTACTGTTAGCTCATGGTCAAAGTTCGAGGGGTTATTGCAGTAACCTACGAGAATCAGAGAGGTGGACAGCCGTAATGATCCTAGAGTGTAGTGATGCCTTTTTGATGGTTTCTAAGAAATGTTGTGATCACCTTGAGTAATATTTAAGGCCTTAACAGCAGGAAAGGCTTATTCTAATGTTTGAAAAGCATGAAGTAAACAAGTGCTTCAATGTTGATTAAACTTTTTAAATAGCACTTAGAAGTCATTTAGAGATTATGAACAGCTGTACAGGAAATAATTGCCATATAAATAGGATTGTGCGATATATATATACCGCCGCAGAAGTCACCCCATACTGATTCCAGACTAGTTTTGTGGCTTTTCTTAAAACTAGTACACTTGAACTAAGTGAAGACAGCACTGCATTTGCCCGGATAGACACCAAAGGGCGATTTTTAACTAATTTTTAACTATATAATTTCCTAATGATTCAATTTCAGTGTGACCAAAAGACTAGTGTTAATTTTTTAGGGTAAAATTATAATTATTTTTGTTTTGCAGTTTTATTGAAAGAAAGAATTCTCTTTTTTAATAAATAAATAAGGAGCCACTTGATATTAAGTGTCTTTAACTACTATGACCTAACATTTAAATTAATCATTTGATACAATACATTTATTGTGTGCATCAGTGGTGTAGTCAGGGTCATATTTACTTTTTACTACTTCTTCTAAGGATCAATATTTGCATATACCCCATTGTTTTTTTGGGGTTTTTTTTTTTTGCTTTGAAAGTCTATAATCTGGTCATGTTAGCTTCTCTATTAACTGCACTCAAGATTTACAAGATTTACGAGCCTTTTTTCAAGATTTATGGATTTCAGTTATTAGTTAAATTCCATTAAATTAAATCCTGAAAAAAGTATAAAAAAAGAGCTTAATAAAACATTTCGTATAAATCTTAAACTTAAATTTAAACAAATTTTTATTTTATTTAAATTCATGAAAACGAATCACATAAACTAAATGGTCCAATCCCTTGTTCTATTAAGATTTATACAAAAAGTTTTATTAAGCTCTAGATTTTTTACTCATTTAAAATTCGCTTGAATAATATCTAAGGATTATTCAATTCAATTAATTATCTAGAATTAGATTAATAGCTGTTGTTGACCTTCCCTTAAACTTCACCTTAGGTCACCTAAGGTCCAAGAATTAAGTCATAGGATGTGCAGGGTGAGTAAATTATGGGATAATTTTCATTTTTGGGTGGACTAACCCCTTTAATGCCACCAAACCTGTCCCTAACCTTACCCGTATCCCACCTCAGTAGCATCAACAGTGTTTTACAATATAACATCAACAGAATAAGTACATTGTACCTAACAACTATTATTTTACTATGCATTTACAGAGTATTTAAAGACACCTAATATAAAGTGTGAAACACAAACTGTATATTCCACTAACCCCATACCCCTAAACCTACCCATCACAGAAAACCTTCTAAATTTTTTTGAATAAAAAAAAAAAGAACGCAGTTAAGTATGTTTTTTAAGCCATTTGGTTTACGAGGACAACCATGTTTACGTTGTCATTACACACATTTGTGTCCTCATAAACCATACAAGATCACACAAACACACATCAGGTTTCCATGTGTTATGGGGACATTCCATAAACTTAACTTAAACATAAAAATTATTCAGTACAAACTGTATATTCTATCCCCTAACCCTAACCCTACCCATCACCCCATCACAGAAAACTTTCTGCATTTTTACAGCTTAAACAATATCATAATCCGAGCTGTTTTCAAAACACACACACACACACACACACACACACACACACACACACACACACACCCTCCTTGTTTTTCTTCTTTCACGCAGGTCCTTTTCCTGCGAGCAGCAGCTGGTTTTAATGATTATCATGGGCCACCATGTAATGAACATCATGTGTTTTAGGGTCACCTTTAAATGCGACCTCAGAATACCGTCCTGAGAACATTCTCTATACTGCTTCAAAAACAACACATAACCCGTTAAAGGAAAAGAGGGCCTCTAACCGTTTATTTATAAAACACGGAAAACAGGGCAGGATTTGAAACCTGCATGTGTTTTTTAGAGTGAACACTAGAGGACAGCATCCTGTCAGTTATGATGACTAAAGCTGATCCGTCAAATGACTCTTGGAGGTCAAAGGGGCACGAGGATAAGCTGGCTGTGCTGATGATGACTGCCTCTTTATTTACATTTCCTTTGTTTTGGTTAATCCATAATATATTTTGCAACAGAAAAACAGCAGTCAATATGGTTGTTTGTTCATGTGTAGGGAAATAATATCTGTCAAGTACAGTGGTAGTGATAGTCAAGTTAAAGTGGTATTAATATATATATATATATATATATATATATATATTATACATACTGTATATATATATATATATATTGTGTGTGTGTGTGTGTGTGTGTGTGTGTATATGTGCAGTCAAATCGATTAATAGCATCTAAAATAAAAGTTGTTTACATAATGTGTGTGTGTGTGTATACTGTATAAATGATTATATTTGTGTGTGTGTGCGCGCATCTGTGTATATATATATACAGTATACACACATATCATGTAAACTAAGACGTTTATGTTAGATGTGATTCATCGATTTGAGCACACATGCATATATATATATATTTTTTTTTTTTTACTGTGTGTGATTATAGTATTTAGAATACAGTACACACACACACACTTGTTTTCCTTTGGTCCGTCTGTACTCACACCTTTTAGTTCTTTCTTCTTTTTTTTGCATTCTACAGTACATAACCTCTAATGATACATCTAATTTTCTGCTCTATTAGCCTCATTAGCTGTGCTTGCATATTCATCATGTACACACGCAGCAGTTCAATTCAATTCAATTAATTATCTAGAATTAGATTAATAGCTGTTGTTGACCTTCCCTTAAACTTCACCTTAGGTCACCTAAGGTCCAAGAATTAAGTCATAGGATGTGCAGGGTGAGTAAATTATGGGATAATTTTCATTTTTGGGTGGACTAACCCCTTTAATGCCACCAAACCTGTCCCTAACCTTACCCGTATCCCACCTCAGTAGCATCAACAGTGTTTTACAATATAACATCAACAGAATAAGTACATTGTACCTAACAACTATTATTTTACTATGCATTTACAGAGTATTTAAAGACACCTAATATAAAGTGTGAAACACAAACTGTATATTCCACTAACCCCATACCCCTAAACCTACCCATCACAGAAAACCTTCTAAATTTTTTTGAATAAAAAAAAAAAGAACGCAGTTAAGTATGTTTTTTAAGCCATTTGGTTTACGAGGACAACCATGTTTACGTTGTCATTACACACATTTGTGTCCTCATAAACCATACAAGATCACACAAACACACATCAGGTTTCCATGTGTTATGGGGACATTCCATAAACTTAACTTAAACATAAAAATTATTCAGTACAAACTGTATATTCTATCCCCTAACCCTAACCCTACCCATCACCCCATCACAGAAA